TAGGTAAAAGGAAAAGACATGCGAAAAAGAAAAAGAGAATTCTACCGGTTGCGAAACGCGGCGGCTTGTTGCCTCTATTGCCTGTGCTGGGAGCCATCGGATCGTTGATCGGTGGTGCGGCTGGTGTAGCGAAAGCCGTTGGCGATCGAAAGGCTGCAGCGCGCCAATTGGAGGAACTGCAACAACACAATCGCGCGTTGGAAGGTCGCGGATTGTATCTCGCACCTTACAAGCGCAACGCGTTCGGAAGAGGTCTTCGCGGTAAAAAAAAAAACCACGCGGAAGCAAGCGATAGATGTCGCTTTACCATCCGGTGTTACCACGAATGTGCAACTTGACGCGCTTGCCAAACGACTTCACATACCGTTCTTCAGGGGTGTATTTATGCGCAACGCCTTACCCGCGCGCGTACGCGCGAACGAAAGCGGCATCGTCAATCTCGACGACGCTATCGGACCGGGCACGCATTGGGTCGCCTACGCCAAGAAAGGTCGCAACGCGGTGTACTTTGACGGATTCGGCAACTTGCGTTTGCCGCGAGAACTCGAGCGCTATCTAGGAAGCAACACGGCGAACGCGTACAATCGTCATCAGTATCAAACATACGATCAGAACGTTTGCGGTCAGTTGTGTCTGCGATTTCTGAGNGATCTCGAGTGGTGAGCGATCGTTCTCAACAACAATGTCGATCACGCTCACATTAACCGGTAGAAGCAGCGTTCTCGCGGTGAGTTACTATCCACCTATCGATCTGAGCGACAGAGTCTACGAACTCGGTCTTACAAACTTCGAATCTTACAACACGATACCGAACGTCGACTCGACGAACAACAAGTTCTACTTCGACGATAACGACGAAACGATAACGAGTTTCGTGGGTTCGTACGAATTGCGCGCTCTCGCTCGTTTTCTGAACACCGCTGTGCTTCGCAGACGTCGGAAACCAAAGGCGAGCGTTACCAAAGAAATTAACAATGACAACGACAACAACAACGATGACGGCTATGATATGTTCGATGACGACGACATCAACGACGACGATGATAACGATGTGAGTGACAAAAGCGCGTTGACGCTTCGCGCCAACGAAAACACCATGCGAAGCGAGATCAAGTGCGCTTATCGAGTCAACTTTTCAAAACCCAACAACATCGGCTAGCTGCTCGGTTTCTCGTCGTCGCGCATTCTGCAACCCAACCGGTGGTTCGCGTCAGACGAACCGGTGAACATTATGAATGTGAACGTGATTCGCGTGGAATGCAACATCACCGCGGGAGCGTACAGCAACGAGCAACTCGTGCACACGATACACGAATTCGCTCCAAACGTACCACCGGGATATAAACTGTCGGAAACACCGCGTCAAATCATTTACCTCCCGGTCTTCGCGAGGAACGTTACAGACATTACGGTGCGCATAGTGGATCAGAACGGTCGATTGATCGATTTTCGCGGCGAAACGATATCGGTGCGCTTGCACGTACGGAAGATACGCGAGTAAAAACAAACAACTTTGTAACGATGCAAATCGTTACGGCCGGGACCGACCATCCGTCCCGGCCTAAAACACGGCGCTTAGCGCCAAATAATCAATCTAAAATCAGCGTATATTAAAGATANGACCGGTTGCTCGCTAAAAAAGCGAGCGATCGCATAACAGCCGCCAACTCTACTCTGGGAGAAAAAGTTGCCGCAACGGCTGTTTGGGCTGCCATGAAGGCCAAAACAAAGCTCGGCGCGGGCTCGAAGAGACACAAAACAGGTAAAAGGAAAAGACATGCGAAAAAGAAAAAGAGAATTTTACCGGTTGCGAAACGCGGCGGCTTGTTGCCTCTATTGCCTGTGCTGGGAGCCACCGGATCGTTGATCGGTGGTGCGGCTGGTGTAGCGAAAGCCGTTGGCGATCGAAAGGCCGCTGCGCGCCAATTGGAGAAACTGCAACGACACAATCGCGCGTTGGAAGGTCGCGGATTGTATCTCGCACCTTACAAGCGCAACGTGTTCGGAAGAAATCTTCGCGGTAAAAAAAAAACCACGCGGAAGCAAGCGATAGATGTCACTTTACCATCCGGTGTTACCACAAATGTGCAACTCAACGCGCTTGCCCGACGACTTCGCATACCGTTCTTCAGGGATGTATTTATGCGCAACGCCTTACCCGCGCGCGTACGCGCGAACGAGAGCGGCATCGTCAATCTCGACGACGCTATCGGACCGGGCACGCATTGGGTCGCCTACGCCAAGAAAGGACGCAACGCGGTGTACTTTGACGGATTCGGCAACTTGCGTCCGCCGCGAGAACTCGAGCGCTATCTAGGAAGCAACGCGGTGATCGCGTACAATCGTCATCAGTATCAAACGTATGATCAGAACGTTTGCGGTCAGTTGTGTCTGCGATTTCTGAGGGATCTCGAGTGGTAAGCGATTGTTCTCGCGCGCTCTCAACAATGTCGATCACGCTCACATTAACCGGTAGAAGCAGCGTTCTCGCGGTGAGTTACTATCCACCTATCGATCTGAACGACTGAGTCTACGAACTCGGTCTTACAAACTTCGAATCTTACAACACGATACCGAACGTCGACTCGACAAACAACAAGTTCTACTTCGACGATAACGACGAAACGATAACGATTCCCGTGGGTTCGTACGAATTGCGCGCTCTCGCTCGTTTTCTGAACACCGCTGTGCTTCGCAGACGTCGGGAACCAAAGGCGAGCGTTAACAAGAAAAACGATGACGACGACAACAACAACGATGACGGCTACGATATGTTCGATGACGACGACGGCAACGACGATGATAACGATGTGGGTGACAAGAGCGCGTTGACGCTTCGCGCCAACGAAAACACCATGCGAAGCGAGATCAAGTGCGCTTATCGAGTCAACTTTTCAAAACCCAACAACATCGGCTCGCT